TCATCTACGTGGCCATCGCCCAGTTCATCGAAACCACCAAGAAGAAGCTGGAGGTCATGCAGGTGCGGGCAGAGCATGGCCTGGAGGGGCCAAGGGGGGCAGTGGGCATTGCCCGGTGCTGCTGGGACCACTGGCCTCCCACCACATTTCTTCCCACAGTCCCAGAAGGGCTGGGAGTCGGAGTACGGGAACATTACCTACCCCCCAGCCATGAAGAATGCCCATGCCAAGGCCGCCCGCACCTCCTCCAAGTGAGTGGCCCCACCTCCCACCTCCCAGTGTCTGCCCCTTTCTCTTCCCCAGCCCGACCCGTCCTTTCCAGGGAGGTTCGGCTTAAAGTTCAAGCTTGGTTCTTACAAGCTGTGTTCACAAGTGTCTCCTGAGTGCCCTCCACGTGGGGCCGGTGCTAGGCACTGATGTGTGAGATGGAGCCTCTGCCCCCAAAGCAGCTTCTAGTCTAGTGTAAGGACACTGTCAGGACTGGTCTCCTTGCTCTCCTGGCCTCAGTCTGCTCACCTGTGAGATGGGGGTGGCCCCGAGGGGCTGCTGGTGCTGGAGACCCCTGCCCTGTGTCCTGACTGCCCGCACCCACCTGCCCCGCCTGCAGACACAAGGAGGACGTGTATGAGAACGTGCACAGTAAGAACAAGAAGGACGAGAAGGTGAAGAAGCAGCGGTCGGCGGACAAGGAGAAGAGCAAGGGTTCCCTGAAGAGGAAGTGAGCTGGGCCCGTCCTGGGGCGGCCATGGTACGGCCCCTCCCTGGCCTGCCCTCAGGGGCCCCCAGGCTCGGTGCTCTCCCTGGGACGGACGGGGCGGCTGCGGCCTCACCCTGTCTTCCCAACCCAACCAGACCTGTGTCTTGTCCCCCCTCCAGGTCCAACCCTGTCTTATCCCTTCCTTCCCTGTCTCTGCAGCCTCAGCCCCGTCCCTGCAGAGGCCTCCAGTGGAAGACCCAGAGCCTGAACCTCGGAGCCTGGCCCCTATTCCATTGTAATTTAAATGGCCATGTCCCCGCCTCCCTCTCCCAGCCCCTGTATATAGCCCAGCAAGGCCCCTGGCAGGGCTGGGCCCTTCTCTTGTAAATAAAGCCTCTAGGTCACTGTGTGTGGGTCTCTAACTCTGTGTGCCTGGGCGGGAGGGGGAGGCGGGCAGGGAGTGCAACATGTGGACACAGAAGGCTGGGCCTTCACAGTCTGACACACGAGTGTGAGTGTGGGTCAGCTTCCGCCGTCTCGTCCCTTTAAAGTGGAGGACGATCCTGCAAGGGTGGTCGTGAAGATCACTGAGATCAGGGATGATGAAATTCGTTACACTCTTGCTGTGTGTCAGGCGCTGTTGAAAAGACTAAAAGTGGTTATTGAACCGAGGTACCTGTAGCATTCCTATTTTACAGTGGGAGAAACTGACACAGAGAGATTAAATAACTTGCTCAAGGCCACAGGACTATTGAGCAGTGAACCTAAGATTTTATTTTAACTCAGGCCTTCTGACCTCAGAGCCTGCATTCCTGGAGACGCAGCCAGGGTCACCCCGAGGGGGACATAACTACATTCTCTGGCACGGACTTCTACATCCAGAAGCTAAGAAGATGGATAACAACGGCCAGTTAACACAGGCCCAGGGCCAACCTCCCTCCCCCGGGCACCTGGTGTGCAAAGGAGCGCCACGCTTCTCCCTTTCTGGGGCTACTAAGAGCCCTTAGGCCCTTGATCAGAGTTTCAGTTTTATTTTTGTCCGCTCTTCCTTCCCCTGGGTCCACAGTGGACAACAGCGATGATTCCTTCTTTGCGTTAAGGCTTCATGTTGATTATAATGCTAGTCTCCTGGGGAGCTGAGCCTGAGAGAGTCTGACTGGGGAAGGCCCGGCTCCCTGCTGCTGGGCCAGCTGAGGCTGGGTGGTCATTCACTCAGCATACACTTTGTTTATTGAGCGTCCCTGTGTCCCAGGCACTGGAGCAGTGCTGGGGCATGATGGTGAACCCGACAGTTCCTGTCCTGGTGGGAAGGCAGACCCAGAAACAGTCCACAAACATAGAATAAGTACAGACAAGAATTGAGAAGGACGCAAACAAAGGTGTGGGGGTGTTAGGGAGCGAGAAGGCAGAGCTGGGATTGGGCGACACAGCTCAGCTCCCAGGAGCTATCGCCCTCCAGGGGGTGCGTGGGTGGAGCATCACCTGTGGGCCTCAGGGCCCCTCTCCCAGCAACGCCCTTTCTATCCCAGCTTGAGCCACACAAAAGAAAGGCGGGTCCCATCCCCTCTCACCCGCCCTCGGGCTGACTGCCCGGCGGCTGGGACTTGGACTCTCCAGGGCTGTGAGGTGGGTCTAGGGGCAGCTCTGCCCGGCGGGGTGCCCGGCCCCTCTGGAGAGCAGAGCCAGGGCTGCAGGAGAGCAGCTCAGAACCTGAATCGGCCGGGTCAGTGCCGACGCTCCTGGCCAGCTTGGGACTCTTGGCAGGAGGGGGGCACCCCAATACTAAAGGTGAGGACAGAGAGGCGCCCCTGGGGGACCTGCCTGCTCTCCACACAGGTGGGCACCAGGCAGGGGCACAACCCAGTCCCTGCTGAGCTGAGCCCTCTCTGCCCTCAGGCTCTCGGGCAGGGGCCTGGGGGAAGGGGCTAGCCGGGGGTGGGAGTGGCCGTGGGGCGAGGCCAAGGAGGAAGGCGAAGGGGGCGAAGACAACCCGTCCCTCTGTCCCTCCGACACCAGGCTCCCTGGTCTGGGCCCCGGGGCAGAGGAGGCAGGTAGGAGAGGAGAGACCACGGCCGAGGGCCCGAGGGTCGGGGCCTGCCGGGGTGACCAGGCCTCAGAGGAGGCGCCTGCGGCTGGCGCTGGGAGGGAAGGGGTTAAGGCAGCGGGGGGTGCAGCCTATGGCTGGAGGACACACCTGTGCGCAGGGGCGGCGGGCGGGGCCCAGGTAGGAGCCTGCGCTGCCCGGCAGGCGAGAAGGAAGGAGGAAGAGTGGAGGCCAGGGCGGCTTCTAGGCCTTGACTCCCGAGCCTCGATTCCTCCTCCTCTCCACGGCCCTCGCCCCCTGGGGGGCAGGCGGCCTGGTGGCAGGTAAAGGCGGGCGGGAGAGGGGTCCTGGGGCTGAGTGAGGGACTGCTGGGGTGGGGGGGGGGGGGGGGGGGGGGGGGAGCGGGTGCCGGGGGGGGGGGGAGAGGCTGGCGGGGCGGGGAGGGGGCTCGGGGCGGGGAAGAGATGGGCGGGGGGCTTCCGAAGCCTTGACCCGGCCTCAGTGGATCAGCAACCCGGGATGGGCCTGGTGACGGCTGCCGGGCTCACCCGGAAGTGTCCCCGGGGACACGGGCGGTGGGGGAGGGGAGCCAGGGCTCCGCAGCTCCACCGGGCGCCTGGGCGAGGACTGCCGGCCCGTCCGGGAGGTGGGGTGGGGGCCCCCGTCTTACCCAGTAGTGTTTGGGTGCTGGTTGAGAGTCTCTAATACTGCCGGGTAATGATGGAGGCCCCTGCCCCGTGCCAGCGACGCCCACCGCCCCGGGCCCCCAGCACCCAGCTGGCCGTGCCGCCCACTCCCGAGCCTCCCCCAGCCCTGGAGGCCCCTTCCTCTTGAGCAGAGGGTGCTGAGAAAGAGGTGGCCCTCGGTTGGCTGTTGGCTGGTTGCCCACGGAAGGGACACAATGGCCCCAGCCCCTCCCCCAACCCAGTGTGATTTGTCATCTGGAGGACCCAGAACCCACAGCTTGACCCTGCGCTGGGGATTGGCTCGCAGACTTTCAATAGACCTCAGCTGGCCTGCGGCCAGGGTCCTTGGAGCGACGGCCGGCTTCAGCCCTGACGCCTGTGGCCGGCTCTGGGTCCATCTTCCAGCACAGTGTTGGATGGTCTAATGCTGAAGCTCCTAACACTGTCTGGTAAAGATGGCCCCCGGCCGGCGCCCTCGGCAATGACCTTCACGGAGCCCTGAAGACCACGGAGGCCTCCAGACCAGCAACCTCTGACCTTTACCCTTGGGGAGGGGGGGTTAAGTCTCTAGGAAACGTAAACAATGGGAGGAGACAAAATGGCTGCCTCGGAGACGCAGCGGGACTTGGGAACACGTTGGTTCTCTGGGCACCTCCATCCTCCTCCTGCCTCGGGAATGCGAAGGAAATAAAATGCGGATGGGACTTGGGCGGACTCGTTCTGCGCATTCACCTCTCACCTTGGGCTTCCAGTTCCTCAGGGCTGGGGCGGCCACATCTGCTTGGTCTCCCCGTCCCTTTCATGACAACCTGCAGAGCAGGGGACAGTTAATCTACTTTCTTCAAAAACCGAAGCAGCTGAAGGCGAACCCAGGCCCTCTGCCCTCTAACCCCACCACTAAGAATTCCAGGATTCCTACCTACACTTTCGCCCCGGCACGGCTGGGGTGGCACGTGGGCACAGCCAGCGGCCTCGTTTCTCTACCGCCCGACGACCCTCAGTGAGGGCGGCGCCGGGAAGGGACGAGGCGCCTGTCCCGTTGGGGGCCCAGGGCTGTGGGAGTGAAGAGCCCACCTCCAGAGGTCGAGCCCTGACTGAGAGACTGAAGTGTGGGTAGCCTGCAGCAGGCGACACGGTCCGCCAGCCGTCTGAACACGTAAACCCCCTGATGAGCACATGTGGTCTCCCCACAGCTGCATGGAGCCCTGGTACCAAGGAAGCAGCTCCTGTTGGGGTCATCAGATTTTTGGTCTAGCTCAGCAAAGCCACAGCTGCTCCAGCCTTTAAAAAAGGAGATGTTGGTAAGCAAAGGGCTGATGCGGTTTAGGAGGGTGGGGTGGGGAGTCCAGCTGGCCTCGGACTCCAGGACTCGCAGTTCCCACCCTGGGTCCTGTTCTGGATCCGGCTCTGAGGGCTTCCAGGGTGAGAGCGGCAGGCCCCGGCTCTCCCTACCTGCCCCGGCCGGTGTCCTCGCGCCCCCTGCTGGAAGAGACGAAGAAGGACCCAGGAGTGCTCGGTGTGAGCGTGCGCACGCGTGCCTCCCCAGCCCAGTTCAGACACCAGAGGCTTTGACTTCGGATTAAGTAATAAACATTTATTGAGAATCTCTGGGGTGGTGGTTGTTGCTTCTGACCACGAGGGAGGAACCAACCCTGCAGGAAATCACACAGTCCCAACACCTCTGGCCGACACAGGGAGGAAAGTCACTCCCCTGAAAATGGTCAGTCTTTGTTCACCCGAGAAGGGCTGGGAGGACAGATGCAGAGGGACCATCACTTGACGGTGGGGGCGGGGTAGGGCCCCAAGCTGGCTCCTCAAAAACCGGGGAAGAAAAAGATCCACTTCCTCCCTGAGGGTGGAGTTCTTGTTCAGCAGTTCATTTCTTACCCTTGATGAGGCTGTCACTGTGGAAATGAGACAGACGGTGACATTATTGGGGGGGACGTACCTGTGAGAGGCAGAGCACCTCGGGCCACTCCCTCCTCAACTACCCTCCTCCCTGAATGTGTGGGTGGGGAGGTGAGAAAGGTGATGTGGTGGGGAAAAGGCAGGACCCCACAGAAACAAGGATGCACCATCAACTTACCTTCCCCTGTGGACGCCAGGTCACCAGATGAACAGGAAACACAGAACGACAAGAGAAAGGTACACGTGACTTGACAGTTTCATGCCCCACCCAACTCTAAACCCTCCTCCGCTCCCAAGGGAAAAAGACAAGCACGCTGGAAGCCCGGAATCTCAGGCTCTGGGAAGACTTGCTCCCTGGCCACTGCCATTTCTCACTCCTGCTTTCCCAGCATCCTTCCGTGCCCCAGAGCAGCTCCCGAGGAAGAACAGCCAGTATCATCTTTTACCACTTTTCACTTAAAAACTTTACAATTAAAGTGCTTTTTACGTGAATAATCCCACTGGATCGCATAAAATCAATCCTGTGAGATTCAAGTTAGGAATTGTCAACCACCCACTTTTCTAAGTGGTTCAGAGACATGGTGTTTTCAAGGGTCACACGAGTAAGCTGGTAACGGGCGCCAGAGCCCAGGTGGCCAGACTCCGGCCCTTGTTCTGTGTCAACACCCCACCTGAAGGCCATGCCTCTCACCGGGTGAAACTTTCATCCTGTAGGTTCAGCACAAGGTTGTCAGCAGTGAGAAAGACACGATTCTGTGATGTGGCGATCTACAGGGCAGAAAGTAAGATGGATGTTTGTACCAAGCAAAAAAGACCTTGATTCCTGCCCTTGCAATTCAGTAACCACTGGTGGAACACGTGTGGGTTACGAACAGCGACGTGGTGATGTGACAGCCACGGTTTCTGCGCTCACACAAGGATCCAGAGCAGCGAGCAACTGTGATGCATTAGGTCCACAAGAGGCATGAACAAAAGGTCAGGGGCGCCCAGGGGACACCATTTTCGATGGGAGGAGGAGTGTCAGAGAAGCCAGTTTGAATAGAAATCCGAACACGCAAGACCCTAATTCCCTCATTTCAATGTGTAGAAACACTTTCCCCCCTCAAGGCGGCCTTGAGCTCACACTCACCGTCTTGGAGATGTTCTGGGCTGCCCGAATCTTGCGCAGCTTGATGTAGCCTGGGTTCTTGCCCAGAGCTTCTCCCAGGTGAGCAGGGTGGGGTTAAGGGTTCACACAAGGCCAGATCTCAGCTGGGGCTGCACCCTATGACTCGGCTCACTCAGCCGTCCTCTGGGCTGTCAGATCCAAGGTTGCGCTCAGGTGGCTCGTGCCCAGCCCTACTTTGCCCCTACCTGTAGGCCTCCCCGCAGGCAGCTGCCGGGAACAGGAGGCAGCAGCACAGATGGAGGCAAGGCCAGCAGTGCTATTGATCTGCCTTACAGCGAGGAGCCAGGCCTCAGGTGCCCCACTGAGACTTCAGATCCCACCCGGCACCCCAACCCCCCAGGGGTCAGAGAGCACGGTTCGCATTCGCCTTAGTCTCATCAGCCAGCCCACGGGGCCGGGTGGGAAGCAGAGTGTTCCAGGGGCTGGGCTGAGAGCTCTGCAGCAGAAGGATATCATCTTGGCGGCCTCAGCCTCACCCTCGGCCTGCACGATCTTCTGCCGCTGTTCCTGCTTCGCTTTTTCCACCAGGAACTGGGCCCGCTGGGCCTCCTGCTGGGCTGTAGCGGGAGAGAACCGGGGTCACAGAGGTAAGGTGTCAGGAACCCCGTCCCTCCTCCTGCTTCCTCAGAAACCCCTGCCTGACTCCTCTCGCGACTCACCCACTTGTTTAGCTTCTACAGCAGCTGTGTATTCTCGGCTAAAGCTCAGCTCAGTGATGGCTACGTCATCCAGTATGAGGCTGAAGTCCTTGGCCCTCTCTGTCAGCTCCCGTCGGATCAACAAGGACACCTGGTGGCCGGGGGGAGGAGAGAGGGGCGTTGAGGGGACTGGAGAACTGAAAGGAAGGCGTGCTTCTGTGATCGTCAGAATCCCAGATCTCCGGAGAACCGCAGAAAGTGCGCTAACCCCTTCTTAGTTCCTCGTTAGGCCAGTTGAGCTGGGAAGGACTTGGGTCACGCTGACTCCTCCACGCTGTACCAACCCCACACGCACGCCTGGACCACTTTTCTCCCATGCAGCCCGACACTAACTGCTATCGAGCTCCAATCTTGGCTCTCCTTGTTTCCCACGGTGGCCATCTGCACAGCTTTTTGGGGGCAACGGACGTCAGGTCACTACCCTTTCCTAACACCCAGTGTGCTGGGCCTAGGAGGGAAATGCTGATGCTACACAGATGGTGATGGGAGCCAGAGCCAGACCTGGGCCCGCTGGGTGATCAGCTGGGAGGCGTTGAACTTGGCCACCACGCTCTTGAGCACCTCGTTGACGATGGATGGCAACACGCGCTCCTCGTAATCCAGCCCCAGGCGCTGGTACATGCTGGGAAGCTCCGCGGCGTTGGGTCTGGACAGCACCCGCAGGGAGATGTTCACCATCTGCAGGTCTAAGCGTGAGGTTAGCAGTGGCTGGGCAAGGCCACGGGGGCCTCACCTGGCTTCCTAGCAAAGCCTCCCTCCCCAAGCATTTTCTCCTCTGGCTTCTCTCTTTACCCAGGGCAATGCCCTGTGGTCCGGAACTGCCCCGCAGGGAGAAGAATGATTCGGCACAGACCAAATGCGTCCTTGTCCACTGTCAAGTTTTCTCTACCCACAACCCTCCTCCAGTAAAGCTGACCTTTCTTTTCGCTACTCTACTTTAGGCTCTGTTACACTGTACCATAATCCTGAACTAGACTGTAAGGACTTGAGAACAGAGATGGTGTTTTGTGAATCCTTGATTTCTTAGGGCCTAGGGTTTCGGGAATGTTAAGCAACCTGCACTAAAAATCGTGCAAAACAGTACGTTACAGGTGAGCTACTCGCCTCATTGTGAACGTGTGTGTGTGTGTGTGTGTGTAAGGGTTGGTCTGGGGAATCTCAAAGGCACAGCTTCTGTGAATGGTCTAGGAGGGAACAGGTGCACCAGTGAAAAGTGCAGCCAAGTTTCCCCAGGACAGAGCGTACCAGTAGATTGATGAGTCAAAGAATTAAAAGAAAGGTTTTAAAACAAAGCTTTGTTCTAGGCAGTGACTAAGACAAAGGACAAACAATGCTCTCACCGAGTTCACGTTAAGGGGGAGGAACAGTTGAAAAATGTACAAACACACAGCGTGTCCAGAATGTACTGCTTGAACTCCAGAAGCAGGTACCTTTATTTTAGCTTGTTTGCAAAGGTGGAAACGAAGGCCCAAGAGATCTGACACTCCCATCTTGCCTAGTCTCTGGCTAGGCTCCCTTGTTTACTGCCAGTGGCACCCCAGTGCCCAGACCTACCTTTGGAGCCTGTGGGGGAGGAAATTTTTCGGGGTCTGGCGCGAATGTCATAGATGATGGGATACTGGAACCAGGGGATCCTGGAGGGGAGGGAACAGGGACAGGGATTAGGAGACTACCGTTTCCCTAGTTTTGTCCGGTTTTCCTTCACCACGTGTTTCTTGGCCTGCTCCTCCTCTTAATGACCACGGTCAAAAAGAAATTCTCTTTTCCCTCCGGAGAACAACAGTATGTGCTCCTGAAGATGTCGCCAGCACGCACTGTTCTGGGAGATGGGGTGAGGAAGGTAAAGAGCGGCGCGGAATCCCGCTGAAAGTCCTCCCACAGCCATAGGTGGGTCGGCGTTCAAGGGTGAAGGGTCAGGGTCAGGGTCAGTCCGCTCTGCCCGCCATTACCTGAAGTGAAGGCCCTCGGCCAGAATGGTGTCCTGCTGCACACCTCCGATCCGATTAAAGAAAATGGCTCTGTGCCCTCCTTCCACTGCAGGGAGAGGGGTAGGGGTCAGCCCAGGCCGGGCTCAGAGTACGTGCCAGCCTCTGGTGGGGCGGGGTGAGGGGCTGGGTGAGCGCGGGGACCTGGCGGGGCTGGGCAGGGGTCCGGGAAGGTCGGGCGGAGTCCGGAGGGCAGGCTGAGGTTGCTCACCGGTGAACACCGACTCGCGGACGCCGTAGGCCACGGCGCCGGCCCCCAGCAGCAGCTTCAGCGCCGTGCCCATGCCCCGGGGCCCGGAGGGCAGCCGTCCCGCTAAGTCCTTCAAGTTCTGGGCCATGTTCGGTCCTGAGGCCGGCGGCACCAGTGGTCCGAAGGGGGTGCCGGCCCGCCTCTACAGCTCTCCAGTTTACGGATCGCACTCTCCACACGAGGGTCCGGCTCCAGGTGCTCGCGGGAGAAAGGGCACCGGAAGTGCGTTCCCTTCTAAACTCTCCCCCCAGTCTACGGCGGACCAGAGCTTGCGGCACAGGAAGCACGCCTCTGGAAGTTCCCTCCCCTTTCTGGAACCCTGCCCTCCCAGAGCGGCTTCGGGAGCATCTGCAGCCAGCCGTCGCCATTTCCGAGCGCCCACTTTCAAAATGGCAGACGGAAGGAAGCTTGCATTTGGGGCGAGAGCGAGGCCCTAGTTTAAGGACGTTACACAATTTCCGGTCCGGTTGCAAGATGGCAGCGCCCGGTGGTGGATTCCAACCTCGTGAGCGGCGCGCCGCGGAGCAGGAAGAGGACTGGGATGCTGTGACGCCCAAGCGGCCCCGACTCGGGGTGGGAAGCAAGATCGGAGGCCGTAGGCTCATTGTGGTGCTGGAAGGGGCCAGTCTGGAGACAGTCAAGGTAGTTTCGGACTAGGGGGTGAAGAGCTAGTAGATAGATAGGATGGGACCAGGTTGGGTGAGGGTGATGGGCTCAAAGTGGATGGAGAAAGCGGAGACAGGTGAAACATGCTTTGGAGAAAGAGTGGCCTAATCGACTGTCTCTTCCTTTAACACGGGTCGGCAGTGCTCGTTTTCTTTGCCCTTGAATCCCGTTGCAGCCGTCACATGCTTGCTTCCGATTGATTTACTAGGATTCTATGGTAACCCTAACCCTATCCCCAACCCCAGAGTCGTCTAAGGGGAAGGGGTTTCGTCCATCGCGTCGTCCCGCTTCATCCCAAGACAAGCTTACTAGGTAGAGGGGAAAAGTAGTTACTGCAGCTCAGTCTTCCCACCCTTTTATTTGTAAGGACTTAATGTTTTAATACATTGAAAGGTGTCTGTCACTCTCCTTTATATTACTGTACATTTCAAAACACTGCCTGGACCAGATTATCATTAATACTTTCACATCTTTATTTTTACTTATCATTGGGCTCTTCTCCCGAACAAATCCGGCAGTTCCCCGTCTTAAAAATTTGTGCAGTGTTCTCATTCTTTCTGATATTGTTTCTCATACTGTTTAGAACTAAACTTGTCCAGTGAGTAGGGCCAGAAGAAATAGCACTGGTTTAGAAGCCAGACCCAGATTTTAATCTTGGTTCTTACACTTATTTCAAGTGTGTGATTTTGAGAAAACAAGTTTGTTCTTAGTTTGTAAAGCGGGGGTTAATACTTTGCAGGGGGACTGTAATGAAAGTGCTTTAATAGTACCTTGCCATAGTAATCCGAGTGCAATTCAGTTCCAGCTTTTCTTCCTCAACCACTATGGCACTTTATAAAGCTTGCAGTTTAGAAAACTGTTTTCTTTTTTCAAACGACCAGCTCATCAGGTTTCCTTTCATTTTCTTCTATAATTGATATTTCTAACCTAATTATAGGTTCACATATTCATCTCTCACTTCATTGCCGCTGTCTTCCCAGGCTATTAATTCTGAGCATCACTTAACCACTTCATTTCTTCATATCTGTGGGGATGACAGTAGTACCTATTTTACTGGGCTGTTGGAAGGATTAAAGGAGTTAAGATGTGGAAAGGGTTTAAATAATTTCTGTCACTTGGAAATAGTTGTTATTATTATTCTTGATTCAGGTTACTTATTAGGAAGTTGAAAAGGTTGTGGGCAAATTAAAGTTCCTAGAGCATGCTCTGGAATAAATTAGGCCAGTTGTCATTAATGGTACTCCAAGGGTGATGGAATCCATAGCTGGTTGAAATCTTCCATACTGTTAGCTTTTGTCTTCCTTGTGCTGATACCTCTTGCTTCTGCAAGCCTCATCTGGGCCTGCACTCTCCATTTATTCTTTTTCAATTTTTAAAAATTGTTTATTTTTTATTAGAGTGTAATTGCTTTACAATGTTGTGTTAGTTTCTGCTGTACAATGAAGTGAATCAGCTATATGTATACGTATATCCCCCCCTTTAAAATAATTAATTAATTAATTTGGTTGTGCTGGGTCTTAGTTGGGGCAGGCGGGCTCCTTAGTTGCGGCTCCAGGGCTCCTTAGTTGTGGCTCGCTGGCTCCTTAGTTGTGGCATGCGAACTCTTAGTTGCAGCATGCATGTGGGATCTAGTTCCCTGACCAGGGATCGAACCCTGTGTTGGGAGCACAGGGTCTTATCCGCTGCACCACCAGGGAAGTCCCTCCATTTATTCTTTGTACTCCAACCTCACTGGCCTTCTTTAAGCTCTTTGAAAGCACTACGTTCTCTTATACCTTAAGGTCATTGCAGATAATGTTGTTTAACTGCAAGCACCCTTTACTCGACTCTTTGCTTTATTAATTCCTACTTAATGTTGATTCATTTAACAATTATTGAGCCTATTAGGCTACTCATTCTTCAGTTATTAGGTTAAATGTTACTTTCCCATAGAAATGACTCCCTTCCTGGTATAAATCAGGTCCTCATAATTCTTTAGTGAACCGTTTAGTTTTCCTTCGTAATGTTTATCACAATTCGCATTAAATACTCATGTGCTTGTTTAGTTTGTCTCTTCCACTAGAAGGCTATAATGAGGACAGAGAATAAGGTTTTAAAAATTCTTGTATCTCCAGTGCCTATTACAGAATTACACATGGTATTCATTCTCTGATTATTCTAGTTAGTGGTTTTCAAGCTTATTAACCACAGCCCACAATAAAAAAAATTACATCGTGAACCAGTATGTGCACTCAATTATATGAAGCCGAAAGTTCCATAAGCCTTTACTTACCATGACTATACTTGAAGTACTCTGATGTTTTCTATTCTGTTCCATTAAAAGAACGAAAACCCTGGTTATAACTTACTAATGAGTCAAAACTAGATTCTTCTATTCAAGAGGTTCTTTTTCCTCTATAACTAAGAGTGTCCCATGGACTTAGTTCTTGGTCCTTTGTTTTACTCTCTGTGACATTCTTGTTATTTCAAAATAACAAGTTAATTTCAAAATCTATATGCCTCTTCCCCCAAACTTTTTGGAGTCATATCTCAAGATGTTGCCGGACATACAAATGTTGTGTTGATACATAAAAACTTGGCCTTTTCGAAACCTGTGTTTGTACTTACTGGTATGTTTTTATTTTTTTTAAATTTATTTTTTTTAAGTCTTTTAATAGAGTACTTGGAAAGCTACGTATTTTTTTAAAAATAAATTTATTTATTTATCTTTGGCTGTGTTGTGTCTTCGTTTCTATGCAAGGGCTTTCTCCAGTTGCAGCGAGCGGGGGCCACTCGTCATCGCGGTGCACGAGCCTCTCACTGTCGCGGCCTCTTGTTGCAGGGCACAGGCTCCAGACCCGCAGGCTCAGTAGTTGTGGCTCACGGGCCCAGTTGGTCCGCGGCATGTGGGATCCTCCCAGACCAGGGCTCGAACCTGTGTCGCCTGCATTAGCAGGAGGATTCTCAACCACTGCGCCACCAGGGAAGCCCTACTGGTATGTTTTTAAACTTTTTATTGACCACCCTATAATGCTCCTCAGGGCTCTGATTTGCAGTTGTTTCTTTTAGCGGTTGCTCACATGCCTTAAAATTGGAACCACCCCTCTTTGTTTTACTTATGAGAACGTTCCTTGATTAAACTACCTCTTGCCTCATTAGAATTTTCACATTTCTTCCTGCTCAGACTTGCAGCTCTTTGTGCATGTTTGTTTTAAGCAACCTGAGGGTAGTGACCGCGTATGTTTTGCCCAGTGTCTACATAATGCTTTTGTGATAAACAAGCATTCAGTCTTGCTCATTAACCTCACTTCTCCCTGGTTCCAGAATCCCTCACTGGCTTTGCCTAATACCCATAGGTTTTAAAATTAAATCCAGTTTAGGGACTTCCCTGGTGGCACAGTGGTTAAGAATCCGCCTGCCAATGCAGGGGACACGGGTTCGAGTCCTGGTCCGGGAAGATCCCATGTGCCATGGAGCAACTAAGCCCGTGCACCACAACTACTGAGCCTGCGTTCCAGAGCCCGCGAGCCACAACTACTGAAGCCCATGCGCCTAGAGCCTATGCTCAGCAACAAGAGAAGCCACCGCAGTGAGAAGCTGGCACACCGCAATGAAGAGCAGCCCCCGCTCGCTGCAACTAGAGAACACCTGTGCGCAGCAACAAAGACCCAGCACAGCCAAAAATAAATAAATTTAAAAAAATTCAATCCAGTTTAGATCGTGTGGAATCACAGGCTGCACTCTTCCTCCCTTTTCCCTCCAAGACCAGTTATGGGATGGGGTGTGGGGGGAGGACGTGGCCACACAGTAATCCCCTGGACGGTTTTCAGGGCCGCACACCGTGTGTCTGATTTAGTAGGTCTGGAGTGGACGTGAGAATGTGACTGTCTAACAGGTTTCCAGATGTTGCTGGTTGGGGACCACCTGAGAACCGCTGTTCCAGGTAAAAGCAGCCTATGTTGCTCTTGACCTTGTTCCCTGTTCGTCAGGTGGGGAAGACGTATGAGCTGCTCAACTGTGACAAGCACAAGTCCATGTTGTTGAAGAACGGACGGGACCCTGGGGAAGTGAGACCAGACATAGCTCACCAGGTAACTCCAGGGACAGGGCTCAGGCCCCCGTGCCTCTGTACGGAAGGTAAGGCAGCTGCGTGTGACTTCTCTTCAGTCTTAACCGTGCCTTGGTCTCCGCCTCCCTCAGAGTTTACTGATGCTGATGGACAGTCCCCTGAACCGGGCTGGCTTGCTACAGGTTTATATCCACACGCAGAAGAATGTGCTGATTGAAGTGAACCCCCAGACTCGAATTCCCAGAACCTTTGACCGCTTCTGTGGCCTCATGGGTGAGATAGAAGCCTTAGGACTTAAACTTGGCAGTAGTGATGAAGGGAGAGGCAAAGGGATAAATTAAGTGTGGAATTTTTAAGTGGGGGAGGGGCACATGTGGCTGATTCCAGAACAGGGGGTCTGCGCTTTCTCCCCATGCACAGTGGGTACAGCCCGCGTGGGTTCCTGGCTGAGGAGCAGGGAGGGGGCCTGTCACCACACAACCAGTGATGTGCTCGACAGCTGCTTGGCCGTGACGTTTCAGTCGTGTAGACACGCAGGGCGTGTGGAGCTCGCCTCACCTGAGGTTTTTCCTGGTTA